TGCAGAGTGCTTTATTTGCAATAACCCAAATGATCCCCACAACAACACTATGAGGGGGTGCTGTGATGCTTTTATGACAAACGAGGCAACAGAGGCAGTAGGAGCACAAGCAATTACCCAAAGTCCCACGCAGAGCCAGGATTCAACCCACCCCAGGCAGTGCAGCTCCAGGGTCAGCCCAGGAGACGCCATGCCATGCAGCCCCCAGCAGGCAGTGGCTAACACAGCCACATTTCCATAGTGATTGTGAGTTGTTTCCAAATTTTTGCTGGAGAACTATGGATTCCTTGAGGGCATGAACTATGACTTTCACTTCCACGGGACCACCCAGGGTCCAGCTGAGCACTGAGTGCACAGCGCCTTTCCAGGGACTTGAAGTTCCAAAGCCCCCCTCCTTTCCAGCTGCAGGAGCAAGTGGTGAATCCTACTGAGCCATAATCTTACTGCTAGAGGCTTATCTACAGGTACTTATACAAGTAGTCTGGCAAAACACCTCTTTAGGGACAAATGTAGGGCTGGAGAGCTGGGAAGCCTCGGGATGTGTCAGATCACAGCTTTCTGCAGGGCTCAACCTTCTTGCTGCTTCTCCAGAACATCTCTCCAAATGCCTGTGCAGCCCTGGGCACCTGGGCAGGGTCCAGCTCTACAAAGGATCATGGCTCGAGTCCTTCCACTCCAAGGGGAAAGACCAACCAAGTGAGAGAAAGAGCATGCAGCCCAGAGAGAGAGCTGGTTGCCATCAACCTCTTGGCTGTCATTTGTTTCTTCAGGGTTTCCAGGCTGGCTTCCAACCGAGGATGTAAGAGGCTGTTACCAAGTTGGGCAGATCAGTGCAAACATACTAAGAGGGGTTATCTCAGCATGGTGTGATGAGGGATGACTTTTTCTCATGGCTTTGCTTCTCTGCCTTTTCTAATTTTCTGCAATGCACATGATTATTTGGGCAATTAAATAATTACAAGGAGGGAAAAGTCATTGTTCTTGCTCTGGCCCTTGCAGGACTCTTTCCCCAGACATATATGGGCTGCTGAGCTCCAATGTGGCCTCTATCTCATGTGGCTTCCACCGAGCTCTTTGTGATCTTCACACCAGCAAATTCCCATCCCTACTCTGTCCTTTCCACACACTTTACTGTGTATTGATCTGCTCTAAACCTTGCGGATTACAAAATGTTTCACTGGCCTAAGACTACTGGGCCCCACAACCCTGATTTCATAAGAAGTCATCTTTTGTGTCCTTGCAGAAGGTGCCTGGGGCATGATTCTATCCTTGGTCCCTTACCTGGACTGCAGCCCCAGTTAACTGCTGAACACCAGTGGCCACATGTCTTCAGCAACCACGTTCACAAGAAGCATCTTCATCCCACCCACTACTTCTGTGTCTCTACCAGCTGCATTGAGCTGTAGGTGGGAAAGTGTGTGGAAATATGACCACTAGAGTTAACAGGGTTGGTGTTCTTTTCTTCAAAATTTCTTTTGGATCTGTCTTTTCTGTCTCCCCACTACCCTTCACTCATGCTCCAGAACCACTGCTGAGGTCCAGGGATGTACCGTTCTCATTTTGGAATCTCCAGGATCTAGCACAGTACCCAGTGCATAGTATGCCCTCAATGTATGCCTCTGGGTTCAATGAATGAATGCATGAACAAACAGGTGACTAAGTAATTTTTAATAACTTGTCACCTCGATTTTTATTTCTTGCAATCCCTCCTGCATTCCTTGCAATCCTTGTTTTATTCCTTGCAAACCTCCCTGTGTGTCTCTGCCATTTGAATCTTCCAAAATGGTGACTCGATCATATGAATGTCTTCCGGTGCCTTTAATGGCTTCCACTGTCTACAAAGGCCTTTCAAGACCCAGTCCCTCGTTACCTTTCTTTGCAAGGATTTTATCTCTCACTCCCCGAAGCTCCCTTCCAGCTGACCTGGTCCCTCTGTGTCCTTTCCTGCCCTTGTAGAGTTGCCTTTTTCTCTGTGTAGCCACTTAGCCACCTGTGCTGATGCTTGCTGCTGGCTAAGTTTGTCACGAGTTCGGTGTGACACCCTTTCCCGTGATGGGCTGATTACAGCAAGGTCCCAATCTGGTGGTGCTTCCCTCTATTGCTGGGTTGGGCAATCTCCTCCCAGTTACTCTGGGTTTGGCCATGTGACTTGCTTTGGTCAACAAAAAAAAGAGCAAACAGGATGTTAGCAGAGACTTGAAAAGTGCTGGCAAGTTGAGTTTTCCATCTTTTGCTGCTCTTGAGAATCCAGAAGCTGTCACCATGTAAACAAGTCCAGGCCAGACCAGTTACCATCATCATCTCAGCTGATAGCCAGCCAGCCACCATAGGCATGAGTCAGGCCATATTGCTGGACCCACAGAATTATGAGCTAAGTAAATAGTCTTGGGTTAAGCCACTAAGTTTTACGAATAGTGTGTTACGTAGCTCACAAATATATAAGACTGTGTATTTGTTGACTGGAGGAAGAGACGCTATGAAAACCACCTTTTGAAACTTCCCAGATACTGCCACTGATGTCCTGATGGAGGTAAGAAAACATCCGCTAAAATCTGTGGTTTACTTATTTTTCATTATTTTGTTTAAGGAGGTCTATAGTGGAAGAGGGAGAGGGGATAGGTGAAAAAAGATAAGGAAAAGACACGAGGCAAGAGGAGAAAGAGAATTCAAGGTGACATAACCAGCATGGAATCCTTCCCAGGCATGAGAGTGGCCGGCTTGGAGCACTGGCAGTGTCTGGCTGGAGGAAGCCGGGACCATTTGTCCATCTAAAAGACCACTTGGTTCCCTCACCCTCTTCCTCCTCTGCTCATGGACACATACACCCTTGCAAGACTGGCCAGGACTAGAGTGTGCCCTGCACCAGTCTACATCCTAAAGATAAGACCCCTGGCTTTCTCATTTTCATAATGCCTACCAGTGCTAGCAGTCAGTCACTGCCTGTGGAACTGACACACACAGCAAACCTGAATGACCCACCCAGAGATGAACTCAAAACCCTCTCCTGCTTAACCCAGTGCCCTACTCACCAAGTGAACAGACCCAGCCTGGGAGGACTGAAGGCAAATCTAAAGTGCCTAGTAACCTTATGTTTCCATAATCTGAGCCTTTAGAAAATGGGGACCCCTGCAGTCCTCCACCATAAGGAGCAGCCACTGTTCAAGAAAGAGAAGATGTGAGTGAGTCGGCACTGAGACGTGTCCATCTTCCCCACCCTCCTTCAAAGCCTGTTGGAAGCTGAAAACTTGACCCAGAATCAACCAAGAAAATCAGCTTTGGGGGGAGTTGAACAGACACAGTGGATCATTTGTTAATGAACAAAACTATCAGGCAGAGCTAGAGTACGTCGAGAAATAGGTTAGACCCAAGAGGACCGAGGGGTGGAAAGTGTGGGTGTGTCCCGTGGAAGCTGCGGAGCTCAGGATGGGCAGTGCATCCATCTCACACTGCTAGGCGGCCTGGCCCCTGGCGCTGCTTCGTTTTGTCAAGCTGTAGTCTTCACCCTGGCCTATTGGAAATGGCTTAACATGACGTATTTAGTGGGGTATTTATTCCACAGATGTTTATTAGTGGCGTGAGCCACTGTGCCAGGCCTTAATTTTTTATTTTTAAGAGACAGGGTACAGCTCTTTCACTCAGGCTGGAGCACAGTGGCACGATCATGGCTCACTGCAGCCTCAAACTCCTGGGCACAAGCGATCCTCCCACGTCAGCCTCCCAAGTAGGTAGGACCACAGGCGCACACCAAGCACCAGGGTTTTTTTTTTTTTTTTTTTTTTTCTTAGACGGAGTTTTCCTCTTGTTACCCAGGCTGGAGTGCAATGGCGCGATCTCAGCTCACCTCAACCTCCGCCTCATGAGTTCAGGCAATTCTCCTGCCTCAACCTCCTGAGTAGCTGGGACTACAGGCATGCGCCACGATGCCCAGCTAATGTTTTGCATTTTTAGTAAAGACAGGGTTACACCATGTTGGCCAGGCTGGTCTCAAACTCCTGACCTCAGGTGATCCACCCCCCTCGGCCTCCCAAAGTGCTGAGATTACAGGCATGAGCCACCGGGCCCGGCTGGGTTGATTCTTAACAGAGTGGTTTGTTTTTGGAGCTTCTCTTCGCGTTGGGGACCAGAAGAGGCCTGGGTTCCTAGCCCACCACTATTCCTCAGCAACTGAGGATTCTAAGGGAAGTCCCATTTAACCTCCCTGGACCTTTGTTTCCCATCCCTGAAGCCCGAGGATAAAACCACCCTCTCACAGGCTGTGATGAGGAAAACAAGGCTACGTCTGGGACCACCACCCTCACCCCCACTTTGTACATAGGAAATACAGGGTTGAGAATGGAGACCCACAGTGCTTCCAGAGGGTCCCCAAAGGCCCTAGTGCCCGCCCGGTGCCCTGCAGAGAGCGCGCACTCCCTGGGGTGCCAGCCCTCAGAGACAACTCGCCCTGGGCCTTGGAACTGGATTCTCCGCGCGCTAGAGAAGGAGTGGAACGGCAGAACCCCCAGGCCCCCATTCCGGGTGCGCGCACCTGGCGCAGGGCGGGCAGCTCCCTCTAACCCCGGGCTTCCGGGACATCCAGGGCTGTCGGGGCTGAGCGCCGCGTGGGCAGCGGCCGGCCGAGTCTGGCTTGCCCCGCCGCCTCGAAGCTGCGCCCTGGCCAGCAAGGGCGCCGCCGGATACCCCAGCCGGCTCCGCAGAGCCTGTCACAGCCACCCCGCCCCGGCCGCTCCACGCGCGGCTTGAAGCACCTTCCCGAGAGGCAGATCCTTGCGCCATAGCTGCGCCGGAGCCCCTGGCGGGACATCGAGGATTTCTCGCTCATGCCAGCCACACCCAAATTTTTGGGAGATGCCGAAGGGTGTGTGCGTGGCTCCGGGTGCGCCTAGGCCCTCCCTTGAGACTCTGCGAGGCGCGCACTGCGGGACCGGAGCTCGCAGCCGCCTGGCAGGACGCTGCCCTGCGGGGCGGGGTGGGGCTGGAGCTGGCACTTGGGGTGCGCCAGGGCCTGCCGGACCGTTGCGCAAGTTGTGATTCGGCTGCTATAAGAGGGGCTGGCAGGCATGGAGCCCCGTAGGAATCGCGGCGCCAGCTGTTGCAAGGTAAGGCCCTGGCGCGCCCCTTCCTCCTTCTCTGCTGGTCTTTCTTGGCAGGCCACAGCGCCCCACCCCACTCTGGGCCCCAGGAAAACTGAAGCAGGCAGGAGGCAGGGCGATGGCTTAGTTTTGGACTATGATAACTTTGCACCGAGTTCTAGCCAGAGAGAAGGCTCCCGGGAACCAGGGAGAGTTGGATTTGCTGCTGGGCTGTGCCGGTGCCCAGAAGGCAGGACTCCGACCTTGCAGAACCTGCCAGGTCCTGGGAGACTGTCAGACCCACCAACCTCATGGCATTGGCAGAGCTGAGATGCCTTGGAAATTGCCTTGGGAACATCCGCAATGTTCAGGGTATACCTACCCCCAACTGAAGGAGATAAAGTTGGGGGTTGGAGGGACGCAGATGGAAGTGATCAGTCTCAGGTCTAGACATTGCCTTGCTCTGCAGGTAAGAATCAGGCTTCATTTTCCAGGGAAGTTCCTGACCCCTGAATGGGAGGGGCTGTATAAGGCCAATGCCTAGGGGAATGGCAAGGATGAGTAGAGGTGGGGGAAATCAAGTGTCAGGAAGACTCAAAATCTTCCAGAGAAATTGTGCAGGGTCTCACCAGATCTGGCCTCAAACCATGCAAATTGCCTTCTTTGCAATGGATACAATGAGGTGTCGCTGGGGACAGAACTGATTATAAGAGAATAAGCCAGGACTGCTCAATATGCGCTGTTGGCCCATCTGGCTCACCTATAGCCTTCCTTGTCTTGGTTTGGATTTCAGTGTGAGTGCCGTCGCCTTGTTTCTATAGATTAAATGGTGGTGCTTTTGGGAAAGGACTCCTTAAATAGAGTTAGGTCCAAGTGAGACAACTGGACCAAGTGACAGGCTGGCTGTCATTTCAGAATAGTAGCTTCAAAGAGGTGATTAATTTCTGTTGGAAGGGTGATCTTTAGGGAGGTGGGTGAAGAGCAGAGACTTGGTGGTGCCATTCCAGGGGCACAAGCTCTCTTCCTTTGCAGGGCAGGAATGACCTCTGGCAGCCAGAGTTGCGTTTGTTCTGTAGGATTCTAGGTGGGCCATGGGCAGCTGAAACTGGGGAGTGTTCCCAATCTCTTTTCCATTAGGATTGTCTGCAGAACCAAACTTGGAGGCATCTAGAAACGTGGGTGCTCCTGTTCTAACGCCCTTAGCAACAGGAAGGCCATGCTGATCATTTCTCTCTCAGGTAGGGAGACAAGGCAAGAGAGAAACAGTGGACGCTTTTAGATTCTTTCCCTTCCCAAGCAGTTGTGGACATTGGGCTGAGGGGAATATTTCCATGTTGGTTAAAGGAGCGTCCTCCTCATATTTTGTACATCTTATACCCAAAATAACTCTTCTTGGTATTTGGGGAAATATTTTCCTCCCCCACCGTTTCAGGAAATGGCTCCAAGTGCCAAGGACAGAGCCAGGGAAGTTGCAATGAATTCCTGCCTGTCAGGCCCCAGGCAGATGCCTCACATGTCTGAGTGGCCCATGCAGGGCACAGAGGTGGCCGCCACAGAGCCTGACTCAATGTACCACCCCTGCCTAGATGTCAACAAGGGCATGGGAGCCAAAGAGAGAAGAGGGGCTCCAGGAAGATAGAGTGCTTGTGTCTTGTGCATCTGTGAACAGCACTGGTATGATTCAAAGGAAAATTGAGCCAAATTCTTCGGCAGTCAGTTACCCCATCCCCACCAGGGTAGGAGTCTGGCAGCCACAGCTCTGTTCTGGCCGGTTGGCAGAGAGCCTTGAAATTCCTCTTTGTCCACACACTTATCTCAGAGAAACAGAGAGGGTGTTTCAGCTTAAAAACAACGCACTTGGTGTCTGGGCCCACAGACACCTTTGCACTTATTCCATGTGTGACAGCCACTGTGCCTTGTTGCTTAGCAGACAGCATGCTGCCGTCCTTTTTGCTCAGTTTATTAGCTCTCTGGAATGGAATCTATAATCAATGCCCATACCAACAATTCACTAATACTATAGGAGATTCAGTCTCCATCTGGGTGTATATTGCATTTGCTCTGGGATGCTCCAGGCTGGGGGCTTGCCAAGGAAGAGAAGAGAAACATGGAGAAGAGGGGAGGGCAGAGGAGGGGTCTCTAAAAAGGGCAGGGGTCCCAGAGTGCAGGGGCAGGAGCCAGGCTCATGAATGGGTCCGAGGGAGGGAGTGCCCCGGGATGGCAGTCAAGATGAAGCAGAGCTTAGGAAGCTGAAGGGAATCAGGGCCCACCTGGGTGCTGGAGGATGCATAGGAAGTGCAGGAAGCAGACCAAGGTCCCCAAGAAAGGGAGACCCGGACACCAAAGCATTTTCTGTCTTTATTAAGACAACTACATCAGAATTCCTGCTGGGCAAAAGTGAATTCTAGGATGTGACTTTAAGATGGGAGCAAGTAAACCATTCAGGAGGTGGGTTACCCTGGTTAGCCAATGCAGATCGAAAATAGGAACTCTTTCATTTATTCAAGCAACAAATATTTAATGAAGCCCTGCTATGTTCCAGGCCCATGGTAGATGCTAGAACAGGTACAGGTGTCATTAATTAATCAGGGAACCCTCTCCTTCTGAGTCTCGCTGGAGCTTCAGATCCCTCTCATACAGAGCTCCAGGGAACCTCAAAAATTGATCAGAGGCTGGGCACAGTGGCTCACACCTGTAATCCCAGCACTTTGGGAGGCAAAGGCAAGTGGATCACTACAGCCCAGGAGTTCCAGACCAGCCTGGGCAACATGGCGAAACCCCAGCTCTATTTAAAAAAAAAAAAAATTAGCTGGATGTGGTGATGCACACCTGTAGTCGCAGCTACTCAGGAGGCTGAGAGGTGGGAGAATTACTTGAGCCCTGGAAGTCAGGTCTGCAGTGAGCCTTGATCACACCACTGCACTCCAGCCTGAGCGACAGAGTGAGACCTTGACACACACACACACACACACACACACACACACACACGCGCGCGCGCACACACACACAGTCAGAACTGACACAGGAGTAGAAATCTATCTGTTAACTCTGATGAGATCAGACCTTTCTGATGAACAGAAAGAATATAACCCCCGTACTCACACCCTGTCTGCTGGTTACATATGTTAACACAATTTTTCAAATGAGGCTTTTGGTTGCAAATTAGAGAAAATCACTCATGCTGGCTCTGTGTTTTCCAAATTGTATATTGTGATCAACATTTGAAAAAAGAGCTGAGACTCTCAAGAGTACATTACCCATGATAAGGGTGAACTTTATTTCTTGACATTTATTTCTCTTACATGTATATATCTATGCCTCAAATGAAAAATCTATTTAGAAAGTTGAAAGCTAGGCCAGGCACGGTGCCTCACACCTATAATCCCAACACTTTGAGAGGCTGAGGTGGGTGGATTGCCTGAGGTCAGGAGTTAAGAGACCAGCCTGGCTGACATGGTGAAACCCTATCTCTACTAAAAATACAAAAATTAGCCTGGTGTGGTGGCGCATGCTACTCGGAAGATACTCGGGAGGCTGAGGCAGAAGAATTGCTTGAGCCCTGGAGGTGAAGGAGTCGCAGTGAGCCCAAGGTTGCCCCACTGCACTCCAGCCTGGGCAACAGATCAAGACTCCATCTCAAAAAAAAAAAAAAGTTGAAAGCTATCCAAGTGAGTATAAGAAAAGAGTATCTTACCCTGAAGGCTAAGGACAAGGAGGGCCACCAGGCCTCATGAGGACCCAGGAACCACGAAGAAGGCTAGTACGGAGCACACGCGGTGACCATACTCTGGCTCTCAGTGGCTATGTGGGCTCTGGTCTCTCTCAGCTGTTCCATGCACATGAGGCCAAACGTGGCTACCCCAGAGTTTCTGAGCCAGCAACAGAGATGAACTGGGCTCCCTGCAGCCCCAATTCTAAATTCCTAAGAGAGAAGCTGATTGCCCAATCAGGGGTTGGAGGAAGAAGGGAAGAGGAAAGGGAGGAGAGAAGAGCCTCCTGGTCTCTTGCGTACCACTGTTCAGGCAGTTGTAGCCAAGGGAGCTGGAGTATAAATGCAAACATGGCCATCAAGGGGTGTGTGTGTGTGTGTGTGTGTGTGTGTGTGTGTGTCTTGGGTAGGTTAGATCTCCCAGCAGGTCCCTACTAAAAATGGACTTAAGCCCCCCAAATTCCAGCTCTCCATGTTCACACACTCCGCCCCTCTACCATATTGAATTATCCCAAACCAACCATGCCTTCCCCCACTCCCCAACTTGTCCTGGAATGCCCTGCTTCCCCTCTTTCCCCTGGGGAACGCATCCTTCAGGTCTCAGCTCACAGACTGCCTCCCTTGCAAAGCTCTCCTCCCGTCCCCAGAGTCCCTCTTCCTCTTTGCTCCTTGGGTTCTATGCTTCTTCCCTCATAACCTCCACCGGGTTGTGTTAAAATGAGTTGTTCAAACTTCTGTCTGTTCCACTAGATTCTGAGCAATTTGGAGAACCAAGATCCAAACTTCCCTGTCTTTATTTCCTCCTTTGTCCTTTCCTCATCCCCAAGTCCCTTCCAACTTGCAGTTGTGAAGAAAGGAAGGAAAGAAGGGTGGGAGGGACGAACAGGAAGGGATCCCACCGGAGAATGTGTACAGGGAGAGGACTCACGCTAGCTAAAGCTTTTTCCATAATTACCAGCAGATGCCGTGTTACCTGAATTTACTTCACAGTAGCATGCAGAAGACTGCCAGAAAGGAAGGTGCAAAACAGTGGATGGCCGGAGAAAGGAGGGAGAGAGCAAAGTGTGTGCTGGGTGTCTTGCTCACCTCTGGTACTTTCAACCAGAGGAAGATAGGCAGGGAGTTTCTCCAGCTCAAGGTTAGCAGGCTCCAGCAGCAAATGCCTCTGTGGTCCCCACATTCCTTGCTATGTTCTTCCCATTGCTGTCATCAGAAGGCCATGGGCAGGCCTGACCTTGGCTCAGGAGGCCCTCCAGCCTGGATCTAGAGAGCAGCAGACGTTTCTGCCCATCTCAGCTCCCACCTTGACATTGAGGTTCCCAGGATGGAGGGTCTGCCTCCATCTGCCTTGTCCCCTATGATGGCAGGAAGGTGATGGAGCTCAGGTCTAGAGGTCACCAGTTTCCTAGGGAGGTAGAAGGTGGGGGGCGAGGTGAGGGCCCTGCACACAACTGCCAAGTGGGGATGGGGGTGGGACCCATCTGAGGATGAGTAAAAGTGAGGCCAGCGCAGAGAACCCAGGTGGAGTCAGACAGAGGAATTTGTGGTAGGGTGAATGGCACATTATATAAGCCTCACTTGCTGCCCCATTTATTGTGATTGTGTCATTATCTTTTTTGGCTTTCATTTTTAAGAGATAGGGTCTTGCTCTGCCACCCAGGCTGGAGTGCAGTGTGTGATCATAACTCATTGCAGCTTTGACTTCCTGGGCTCAAGCAAACCTCCCACCTTGGCCTCCCAAGCAGCTGGGACCACAAGTATTTGCCACCACACCCAGCTAATTTCTTTTTTTTTTTTAGAGATAAGGTCTTTCAGTGTTGCCCAGGCTGCTCTTGAACTCCTGGGCTCAAGCAATCCTCCTGCCTTAGCCTCTCAAAGCCCTGGGATTATAGGCTGAGCACCACACCCAGCCACATTTCATCTGTGCAGCCCCACGGGCTCCACGTTCTAGTTTTTCTCATTTCTTCTCCAGGGTACCATGGCGGGGGAGGAGGGTAGAAGACGGGGCAGCCAGGCCTTGATTAAAGGAGAAGGAAGGCAGCCTGTGGAGAAGGTGGCCCAGGAGTGCAGAGAGGAGCAGGCGATGAGGGAGACAGCAGAGTGCAGGCTGCTGTGGCCCAAAGGAGCACACCACCCGCTGCGAGCCCACCCCCCCCCAACACCCCTGCCTAGAGACCCCTCTCCTCTCCAGGATCTGCTTCAGCAGCACTCAGAGGAAAGAATGATGCTGTGTCAACATTTCAGCTGCTTCTCTTTTAACTCTTAGAAAGTGGCAGCTCCTAAATGTTCAAAACTGCTTTGGAAGCTTCTGGAGAGAGGTTTTGCAGCTGAGGCAGACAGCTGACTGCAGCCTTTCTTCCACCCCAACCCGTGCTGTCCCCGGGCTCTCCTGCAGCAGCTGCAGCGGGCCCCTGGGTCCTACATTTGCAGCCCTTTGTCTCTGAGCGCAGACTTCCAATTCCAACCAGCAGCTGGACGGGCCCACCAGCATGTCCTGCCAGTACTAGGACATTAGCAGGCACCCAACCTCCTCTTTCCAAAGCCTCTCCTTCTGCCTCTCCTAGTTTCCATCTCCATCCTTCCAGTCAGTCAGGCTGAAAGCATTTGCTCCTCAGGGTGCAGAAGGAAAAGCCTCACCTCCCTACCTGGTGCTCGCTTGCCCCTGTGATCCCAGCCCAAGCCCTCCCTGGCCTCCTCACCCTGGTGTCAGCTGGGAGCCACCATCTCCTAAACCCACCTGTGTTCTTCCACCTCTGCCAGGGCTGCACTTTCCTCCACCTTCACAAACTCAACTTCTACCCATTCTCAGGTCCCTTATCAAATACCACCTCCTCCATGATGCCTCCCTGATTTATCCGCTGGAAATAATGGTGATAACAGCTAAGGCATTGGGGTTGGCTACATGCCAGCCAAGGAGTTAGCACTTTCCATGCTTTATCTCATTTCAAGCCACATCACAGCGACAGGTGGCATGATGATTCATATCATCCCCATTTGAGAGCCAGGAAAACTGAGTGTTGGAGAGATTAGCCACTTTCCTAAGACCTTATGCTCTGACTCAAGCATAGCTCTGAGGAACTCGTAAAGTTCATCAGTTTAAGCACCATGACTTTTTTTGCTAAGTCTCCCAACATTTCTTCTGTTAAAATGTTCTTCCTTGGCTGGGCGCAGTGGCTCAGACCTGACGCGGTGGCTCACGCCTGTAATCCCAGCACTTTGGGAGGCCAAGGTGGGCAGATCATCTGAGGTCAGGGGTTCGAGACCAGCCTGGCCAACGTGGTGGAACCTGTCTCTATTAACAATACAAAAAAATGAGGCCGGGCAAGGTGGCTCACGCCTGTAATCCCAGCGCGTTGGGAGGCCAAGGCAGGTGGATCACCTGAGGTCAGGAGTTCAAGACCAGCCTGGCCAACATGGTGAAACCCCGTCTCTACTAAAAATACAAAAAATTACCCTGGCATGGTGAGTGGGCGCCTGTAATCCCAGCTACTTGGGAGGCTGAGGCAGAATTGCTTGAACCCAGGGGGCAGAGATTACATTGAGTCAAGATCACACCACTGCACTCCAACCTAGGTAAAAGAACGAGACTCCGTCTCAAAAATAAATAAATAAAAATAAGTGTTCTTCCTTGCATTGAAGTTAAATATGTAAATTCTTAAACAAGTTGCTTAAGGGCACAGTTTTGTTCTTTCCTTTTATTTTTAACAAATACTATATGTAACTAGTTGACAAGATGAAATACTGTGTATACTACCCCAGCTTCCCTGGGAAAGCCATCAGCTTCTGCCTCATGCCTTCCCACTCCTGATTCCACTTTCCTGTGGTTCCATATCTTTTTCATGTCTGTTTCAGGCCCACAATGGCAATCAATACATGTTAGCTGCCAACCATCAAACCTACGTTGAGTAATTATGGTGTGTCAGGTATACACTCCATGAAATTATATTAGGTTTGTACAAAAGTAATTGTGGTTTTTAAGAGTAATGGCAAAAACAGCAATTATTTTTGCACCAACTATTTGCTGTCTTGAATTATCCCTCCTTTCCTAGTCCCTAACCCTGCTCCTCCCAGCCATTCTTTCTCCCCTTCTCGGGCCATGGCCAGGCCCCGCCCAGGTACTGAGACTCAGGTGAACCAAGGAAGACTTAATGCCTACTCTTTTCTGATTCCCACGATGGCCTGCATTAAGTCAGTTAGCATTAAGTTTGGCTGCATTTAGCAGAGACCCAAAAGAACAGTGCCTTTTTAAAGGCAGACATTATGTCTCTCACACACCTAGCACAAGTCCAGAGGTAGGTAGTCCAAGACCAGCATGGCATCTCAGCCCCATGAGGTCCTCAGGAACCGAGCTTCTACAGCCCCCAGCCCTGCGTTCATAAGGGTGAGGCCTTCGTCCTCGTGGTCCAAGGTGGTGCTAGACTCTTGGCTACCACATCTACAGCCCAGGCATCAGAATGAAGCAAGGGATGAAAAAGGAAGAGACGAAGGCACATACATGACAGGTTCCTGAGACACTTCTGCTTATATTTCACTGGCCAGAATTTAGTCACATGGCCACACCTAGTTGAGAGACTCTGAGAAGCAAAGTATTTACTCTAGATGGCCATATTCCTACCTAAGACTTGGAGTTTCTATGACTGGGGAAGAATGGAAGACAAGATATTGGGCATGACTAGCAGCCTCTATGAAAAGGGTGATCTGTGTTGATGTGTGTGTGTGTGATGTGTGTACGAATATATGTGTTGTGTGTTGGGGGGACAGATTCTTGCAAGCACTTTAATCTCAGATGGATCTGTTACCAGTTCTCTCTGCAGACCCCCATAGGTTTCCCCTAAACCTGCCCCTCCTGTTGGGCAGCCTTACTCAGCGGCAGCTTCTCAGCTCCATGTTTTCAAGAAACCACAATTAATTTCCAGCCTCCACTGAAGCATATTATCAGTGGTGATAGAGGGAGCTTGTAAAACTGTTTTTGCACTTAGGTATTAGAGGGTGGCCATTATGTGAGAGTGACTATGACCACAGTTAATAGTCACTCTCACGATCTGGTAGTAAATTCTGGTAATAAATTCTCTTGGGAAGGAGGGTGTCATCAACACATGAATCTTAGCAAAGGAGGCAAGTTGATCTTGTACTGCATGGGGAAGACCCAGAGACACCAGGCGTCCCGTTGAGATAGCCCGTGGGAGACAATGGGCCAAATGCTTGATTCACAGTTGGCTACGGGTAGTATGGCCCACCTGCCTGGTAATTATAATAATTTACTCCCCAACCCTGCTCTGGACAGGCACACCAAGGGCAGGGGCCTCACAGGTTCATTTCATTTGCCCTTGTGGAGCCAGGTGGTGGTGTTAGCTCCATTTTACTGAAAGGAAAGGATGTTTGAAGGAAGTGTCTTGCGCAGAGACACGAAACTAACAAGAGCAGAGCCTGCTGCTGGAGCCTCAGCGCCTAATCACTGCACTCCCCCACCTCTGCTAGGGTTTCACGGAATCAAAATGGGGATTAGCACTGTTTAACCCAGTTCCACAAACACTTGGTGTATTAGTCAGGTAACAAGTAGTTAATAGGAGAAGTTTTACTTTTTTAAGAGATAAATTTGCCTTTTCCCAAATTACTAGGTACACAGTATCTTTCATGTTTGAAGTTGAGATGGGGGTACAATATCACAGCTTCATCCCAGAGCAGGGCATTTGCTTCCACGTGCCATGTTCCCAGCAGCTGCCCTTGATGGGAATTGGGGTATAATGTGGGCTTTTCCTTAAATCCTGGAGGCGCTGGAGGGTGGTGCCTTGCACTCCCGCCTTCTGGGTCTGAATCCTGACTATGTGATGGACCTGTTTGACTTTAGGCAAGCTGACTCCTTTTCCTGAGTCCCATATTTTTCTCTCCTGTAAAACTCAGATTTTAAAAAAATGACTCTGATCAAACATTATAAATAGCATATAGACAGACTGCCTGTTTTTATTGTATTGCCAGAAAATGAATCCTACTAATATTGCCATCTATGGACAGAAAATGTATTACCTGTTTTCATCAAGACCCAGACGAGAAAGAACACGAAAAGCAGAGAGTAACTTTACTACCACCTCGAGAAACTTCATCCTAGTATTTACTCACATTTCATTATTATTTCGGGCTCATGCACATATACTTAGCATGGATCACTGGCCACAGACTTGCATACATTTAGCTTTATTACCTTTTGCCTCATGTATCTCATTAAAACTTTGCTGCTTAATCAAGGATCTGCATATCATTTTAATTTTAGAATTCACGGTTCCAAGACTTTGAAAGTTCCAAGTGTTCTGAGTGAATGTTATGTTATCTCCCACTGCCATGTCTTCACACTTCCCAACTTCCGGGCCACTATGGCCACCACTTTCTACTCTTAGTAACCCATACTCAGTGCTTAATCCCCAGCTCAGGTGACACTTCTTCCAGGGAGCCCCCTTTGCGCTCTGGTAGTATTTTTTTTTTTTTTTTTTTTTTTTGCACGGGCTCCCCCTTTTTTTTTTTTTTTTTTTTTTTTGAGACAGAGTCTCCCTCTGTTGCCTAGGCTGGAATGCAGTGGCATGATCTCAGCTCACTGAAACCTCTACCACCTGGGGTTCATGCAATTCTCCTGCCTCAGTCTCCTGAGTAGCTGGGACTACAGGTCCCTGCCACCGTGCCCAGCTAATTTTTGTATTTTCAGTAGAGATGGGGTTTAGCCATCTTGGTCAGGCTGGTCTTGAACACCTGACCTCGTAATCCGTCCACTTCGGCCTCCCAAAGTGCTGGGATTACAGGTGTGAGCCACCGCGCCCGTCCTCTGGGGGTATCTTGTACCTTCCCTTTTTGCAAAGCCCTTTCCTTCTGCTTTAGAATGGCTCATTGACCTATTTGTTTCTCCTGTTAACTCAACTCCACTTGAGGGTGGAGAGCATCTATTGTTCACCATTGCATCCCTGGTGTGGAGCACTGTGTCTGACATATTATTTAGACGATCAAGAAGTGCCAGTGGGATTCAGGCTCACAGTGGGTGGGAGAGAAAAGAAGTAAGGAAGCAAGTGGTAAAGGCCGTCACAGAGTATCAGCAGGCTGCCGTGAGGGAGAAATGCAGAGGACGGGTGAGTAGCATAATCGCTAATGACAGGGTAATGATAGAGAACATTTCACAACGCCTTTAAGTGCTTTCGCATGCATTATCTAATTTGATCCTCATAAAAGCCTAGAGATAGATATATTACAGGGATGAAAGTGGAGTATTTTGTGATTATGTGATATGCTTAAAATTATACAGAGAGTAAATGACTGGGTTCAAACCACACCTTAAAAGTCTGTTCTTTTTCCCTTGAGGCACGCACTGAAGTCTACATCATCCCCACCACGTCCATTCCATCATACCCTGGCCTCACTGCTCTGTGGTCTACAGAATACCTCATGGCGGTTTCATTTACCAGATAATAATCCTCTTCCTAAGGGGATGCATTTCATTAATACATATGTAGATCATGAATTGTCTTTGACTTTGAGGGGTTGGTAGCCAGGGCAGAAAGCAAAGCTGATTTTCATCCACATCCGGTAATGTGGTTGGTAATGGGGCAGATGAGTGTATTCTGAGATACCAGCTCCTTGCAATGTGTGGTTTCTTCTGTTTTCAGGCCCAAGAGGCACATCCTGGGAAGAAAAATGCGTTGGGGATGCCTGTGCCGATTCCTGTGGCTTTGGGCCTGTCTGTCCTATACCCAAGCTGTGCCCATCCAAAGAGTTCAAGATGACACCAAAACCCTCATCAAGACAATTATCACCAGGATCAACAATCTTTCACAAATGGTAGGGAGGGTCTGCGAGGACAAAGTAGAACTATGGCCAGCCCAGCACTGGTTCCTAGTGGGACTGGACCCAGATAGTCCAAGAGACATTTATTGAACACCTCCTGAATGCCAGGCGCCTACTGGAAGCTGAGAGGGATTTGAAAGCACAGGTCTCCCACTCATTCTGGTTCTTTCTTTTGGCCCAAGAACATTTAACTTTGCCACGTTTCCATCTAAAAATCATAGCATTTGGGCTGGGTGTGGTGGCTCACACCTGTCATCCCAGCACTTTGGGAGGCCAAAGCAGGAGAATCACTTGAGCCCAAGAGTTTGAGACCAGCCTGGGCAGCATAGGGAGACCCCATCTCTACAAAAATAATTTTAAAATATTAGCTGGACATAGTGGTGCACACCTGTGGCCCCAGCTATTTGGGAGGCTAAGATGGGAAGATCACCTGAGCCTGGGAGGTTGAGGCTACAGTGGGCTGTGATCGTGCCACCATGCTCCAGCCTGGGCGACAGAGCAAGACCCTGTCTCAAAATAAGTAAATAAATAAATAAATAAATATCACAGGATTTGGTCAGGCACGATGGATCACATCTGTAAGTCCAGTGCTTTAGGAGGCCAAAGCAGGAGGATCAGTTGAGACCAGGAGTTCAAGACCAGCCTGGGCAACGTGGCAAGACCTCTATCTCTAATTTAAAAATAAAAAATAAAATTAGGCTGAGCATGGTGGCTCATGCCTGCAATCCCAGCACTTTGGGAGGCCGAGGCGGGTGGATCACCAGGTCAGGAGATTGAGACTATCCTGGCTAACACAGTGAAATCCTGTCTCTATTAAAAATTCAAAAAATTAGCCAGGCATGGTGGTACATGCCTGTAGTCCCAGCTACTGAGGAGGCTGAGGCAGGAGAATTGCTTGAACCCAGGAGGCAGAGGTTATAGTGAGCTGAGATCGTGCCACTGCAGTCCAGCCTACCTGGGTGACAAGAGCAAGACTCTGTCTCAATAAATAAATAATAATTAAAAAATAAGAAAAAAAATAAGAGGATTCTCTGATATCATGAGGCCTCATGTGCTTATTTTCACTTTACCAAGGGGAAAACCAGGCCTCAGAGATTAGCTGAGGCACATGCAGGCACAGCCACAGCGTCTTTCCTTCCTCTCCCCTGTGTCCCTGCCTTCTGCACTTGCCTCCCTGCCTGACTTCACTTCCTTGAGTCTTAGTGCCTAGGACCAGAGGGAGCCGGGAAGTTCCCTGTGCCCCACCGGCAGGTGCAAGACCCCTAGCAGCATCTCCTCGGAGCCTCTACCCCATCTCTAATGTGCTTGTCATTAGGGCTCTTGTAGTTCCAGCTGATCTCTGGCCCCACCTCTCAAAGATACCCGAAAGAGTGAGTCTACCCTTTTTCACATTCAACCTTCTACTGATTTGCAAATAGCAGTCAGTGCCCACCCTGGTTCTTTCTTTGAGATCCAGCAGGACTAGACCTTCAGCCATTTCCCTTATGAGATCTGTATTTGAAATTAGGAAGATTAAGTGTGAATCTTCACACTTCTGATGTCTGTGAGATCTTCAGCAGGTTCCTTAGTGTCTTTAAGCCTTAGTTTCATCATCTGAGTAATGGGGATGTCACGCACTATTCACAAGGTTGGTTGTTATGAGACCTAAATTAGCTAAAGCAAGTGAATCCTCCTTACCCCCTGCGTGGAGCTCTCTGGAGACTTCCACATCTCCTGGTTATTGTGGGTGTCTCATGGTAGTCTTGGGCAGTTAGGGAGAAGCTTGGTGTCCAGAAAAAAAGATGGCTTAGAACTAGATAAAGTCTTGGGCATTTTATAGAGAAAAACTCTTGTCTTCTCTCAAAATCGCCACTCAGCAAGGCTGCACGTGATACATCCCAAGTGCCCCAACTTGAGTGGTGTCAATACATGATGTCACGGGGGCCCAAGGGTAGTAACCACAGAGGTGTCAGCCTCAGTGCTGTGGGCAGACAGATGGGGAGAGCTCTCCTGGAACTAGAGACACTGGAGCAGGGTTGGGGGGCCTCACTGAGGATATGACCTTGATCTCTGAGGAAGAGGGACTGCCTGGAAAAGCCGACTGGGAGGAAGGACTCTGCTGGGGGCGGAAGGGTCTAGGGCTGGCTGGGGTGGGAGTGCTTATGGAGGACCTCAGATGGCTGGGGAACAGACTCCACTAAATAAGACATAGGGAACCATGGCTGGGTTTTCAGCAGAGACCATGTAGGGAAAGGAATGACCTAGGAAAGCTGGTCTGGAAATGAAGGGAAGGCTGGTGTGGGAAGGGCAGGAATCTAGGAGACCAGCTTAGAGGCTTGGCAGTCAGCTGGGCTCAGGATACAAGGACCTGAACCAAAGTGGTGAGGGAGGGTGGAAGGAGGCAGCCCAGAGAACGAGCCTCCATGCTCACGGGGAAGGCAGAGGGCTTGAGGGTGATTCCTCTACAGTGCTGAGCACTTGTTCTTCCTCTTTCTCCTGCACAGCAGTCGGTCTCCCCCAAACAAAGGATCACCGGTTTGGACTTCATTCCCGGGTTCCACTCTGACCTGAGCTTTTCCAAGATGGACGAGATACTGGCGATCTACCAACAGATTGTCAACAGTCTGCCTTCCGGAAACTTGGTCCAAATATCCAATGACCTGGAGAACCTCCGGGCCCTTCTTCACCTGCTGGCCTCCTCTAAGAGCTGCCCCTTGCCCTGGGCCAGTGGTCTAGAGACCTTGGCAAACCTGGGGGGTGTCCTGGAAGCTTCGCTCCACTCCACGGAGGTGGTGGCCCTGAGCAGGCTGCAGGGGTCTCTGCAGGACATGCTGCGGCAGCTGGACCTCGGCCCTGCATGCTGAGGCCTTGAAGGTCGCTTTTCCCCCAAGGACCACATTGAGGGAAGGAACCAGCTGTCTCCAGGAAAAAAGAGCATTGCATGGACACCCTTTATCCAGGACTCTGCCCATTTCTCTGACTCCTCTAAACCACCCTTCCAAAGGCATAAGACCCTAAGCCTCCATTTGCTTGAAACCAAAGATTTATACACAGGATCCTATTCTCACCAGGAAGGAGGTCTGCCCAGCAAAGAGTGGACTGCATCTGGGACTCCCACCAAGGTCTTCAGCCATCAACAAGAGTTGTCCTGCCCCCTCTTGTCCCATCTCCCCCTCACTGCATGCTTCAATGTGACCAGCGGTGATTTCAGAGGGGACAGGGGGACGGGCAGAGCCTTTGGATGGCCAGAGCAAGGTTCCCTCTGAGAATTCCAAGGAAATCCGTGAAGGCTACATCCACACACAGCAGGAGCTCCAAGCAACAGCCCTCACACGCACACCCCTCCACTGCCAAAAGAGCTATTTTCATGAAAAAAATCCCACAAATCTTGAGGGGTTTTTACTCTGGTGGTAAAGAAAACTCCTTTATCAGGTGGTCCTGAGACCTGACAAGCACCACTGGGTACCCACCTTGGCACACAGGTGAGTGCGGTTTGACTACTGGGAATGCAGGCTCCCTGAGGGCAGGCCACCAGGATGACCCTTCCCACTGGAGGTCACGTTCAGCAAGATGAACGGAGAGGTTTGGGGTTTGCCACCATCCTGCTGCTGTGTTTTTGCCATCACACAGTGGGTAGTGGATCTGTCCGAGGAAACTTGAATCAAAGCAATTAACTTAAGACTCAGCACCTGCTTTGTGCTCAGCCCTGACTGGGGCTATGGGCTGGAGAAGCTTACCAAATAAACATTAAGATTCAGTCCTGCTCCAGACCCTGCATTCCCCGCGGTCAAACTGCACTCACTTTTGTTCCAAGGCCGGCAATTTACCATGGCAGCCAAACAGCCGAACGCATAGCGCAGTCTGCAGCAGGTGGGAAATGGTGTGAGTGGAGGGTGGCCACGCCCAGCGGCCCACAGGGAAGCCTGCTTGCATGTTGCAGTATGTTGGCTTTTCAGGGCATCTGTTATTGCATTGTCACAAAATAACTGAGAATTTAAAATAAGAAATACCTAAGACCATAGCAACCGACAAATGGCAGGACCAGGACTCCAGCCCAGGTCCTCTGACCCCCAGAGCATCCTGTGAGGCAGATAATGCTCTCTAGAGAGGGACTGGAATGGGGAGACCGAGTGCTTTCTGGAAAAGAGGAATTTTGAGGTAGAGTTTAAAGGAGGTGAGGGATGGGAATTGCCTGCAGAGAGAAGGCTGTTTTGCTGGAAGGTTTTGGGCGTAGAGATGCAGAGGTGAAGGTATGGGCAGTGAGTTACAGCGAGAGGCAGAGAAAGAAGAGATGGGAGGGAAAGGGCCATGCTGAAGGGACCTCGAAGAGTAAAGAAGTTTGATATTAAAGGAGTTAAGAGTCGCAAGTTCTAGAGAAGCTGGTGCCGTGGCCATGGTCAGAGCTACTCTAGAAAATGTGACCCAGATCATCACAACTACCTAATCAGTCTGGGGTGTCTCAGGCCTTTTGCTCACAAAACCTGGAACAATGGCTAATTCCCCGAGTGTGAAACTTCCCATG